ACATCTGTGGTGATAAAAACTTTTAGTCTGATCAAGCGGTGCATTTCTGTTGGTTGTATTTAGCTCATGCCAGATGGTAGCTAGATATGGTTGCTTGAGGTGATGATGAAACATAGAGACCATCAAATTCAGAATGTGGAGCGTATCTACATCTGTGGTGATAAAAGCATTTTTCTATTCTGATCAAGCGGTGCGTTTCTGTCAGTTGTGTTTAGTTCATGCCACAGATGGTAGCTAGACGGATGATAGTTAGATATGGTCGCTTGGGGTGATGATGAAACATAGAGACCATCAAATTCAGAATGTGGAGCCTATCTCCACATCTGTGGTGATAAGAACAATTTTCTATTCTGATCAAGAGGTGTGTTTCTGTCAATTGTATTTAGTTCATGCCACAGATCGTAGCTAGATATCGTTGAATGGGGATCTCTACATCTGACCAGGTGAGTGCATTTCTATCGGGTGTATCTAGTTGTAGATAGGAGGCCAGCTAGATATTGCTTGGCATGATGATGAAATCATAGAGACTACCAAATTCGGAATGTGGAGCATATCTGCCCCCATTATGTTGATTTAAACTTTTTCTGATCAAGCGAGTGTATTTATGCGAGCTTTATATTTGGTTGAATCGCGTTGGCAGGCTAGATATTGCCTGAGGTGATGATGGATTCTAGAGACCGTCAAATTTAGAATGTGGATCGTATCTATATCTTCGGCGAGGAGGAACTATTTTTTTCCTCCCTGAGTGCGTCGAGTCCTTCACCGCTAACTGTTTTGGTTGAAGGCGGTTGATAAGCTAGATATTGCTTGATATGATGATGAAGTGATAGAGACCATCAAATTCAGAAAGTAGAGCATAACTACATCTGTGATGATATAATCATATTCTCTTCTGACCGAGCAATTGCATTTTGTGATAGCTGTATTTGTTTGAAGACGTCGGTAGGTGAAATATTGCTCGTCGTGACGAGGAAATGATAGAGAATCAAATTCAGAATGTGGAGCATATCTACATCTGTGGTGACGTAATCATTGTCTTGTGACTGAGCGCGATTGCATTCCTAGTGAAACCACCTGGGTGGAATGGATATTGCGGGATGAGGTGATGATGAAATCCCATCCGGGAATTCAGAATGTCGGTGGTATCCGTGTTTTGTGACCAAGCAGGTATGTTTATGCTGAATGTACTTATAGTTGAGGCCACGTGGAAGGCCAATCTGGTTGGAGTCTTATGACTTTCACTGCATAGGGTGCCAATTGTGCACTCTATCCCTCAACTGTGGGTGTTGAATGGCATTCTATCCATCGAGTATCGGAGTTGATATTCAATGACATTGCGGATCTTGGGAAGTACGTTTGGGATATAGTTGAGGCCACGTGGAAGGCCAACCTCGTTGGAGTCTTATGACTTTCACTGCATAGGGTGCCAATTGTGCAGTCTATCCCTCGACTGTGGGTGTTGACTGGCATTCTATCCATCGAGTATCGGAGTTGGTATTCAATGCCATTGCGGATCTTGGGAAGTATGTTTGGGATCGCTACGAGTTGTCGGTAGCTCTAGACGATGATGGCGATAGAGCGCTAGATTCATACGTGCCAGTCGCTCATGGCAGCGGTGACAATGGTATGTGTCAATTAGAACTGGAATTGCGAAACGCAAGGAAGCTGATCAGGCTGTCATGTAGGTAGTTGGGAATGGTTGTTCCTTGTGGGTTTCTTCGAAAAACTGTGTTCGGGATTGGTTGGCAAGCTCTTCTAAAGAGCTATCGAAATTGGTCAAATGCCTTTGTGGTCTTCTTACCTCTACGGCAGAACACCACACCACAGGCATCACTGCACTGCAACTCTACCAATGATCAAGGGCCTTGCTCCAGCACAAGCCACCCTGCAGAGTGTGGTAAGGTTTGTTATTGAAGTGTTAAAGAAAAAAGAAAAAAAAGGGTGGGAACAAGGTCAGTTAAAAAGTGACGTCATTTAAAAAATGTTACCAGGGTCAGCGCACACGGTTGGTTCTGACAGTGCCAAAACACCAGTGTGACTTGAGCAGTGGCGTGAAAAGCTGTGTGGGGACGCGGGCAAATTGTTTATTTCCTATTTTTGTTCAGTTTTTTGCACTTTGCATGAATGAGATCTGTGGTCGCTAGTAGGATCATTGGTACATTGTGTTTGAAGCAATGTCTTGGTAGTATTTCCTGTGTGAAAATAGTTTGTGCACATCCGTTTTCGAAAGGTCCTGATGTAGTGAATGATCCCACTGGGAATTCAGTGGTGCACTTTGAGGTGAGACATGAAATGAATGTAAGGTGTGTTTGTATTGGTAACAGCAGTCGAATGTGACGCTACATTATGAAGGGGGTTTCTCTGCATTGTTTCTTCAGATGTGATATTGATAAAAAACTACCCCTGTATGTTTGCAGAGGAGGAGCGCAAGAGGAAGGAGGAAGAAGAGCGCATTCGAAAACTGGAAGAGATCGCAGCAAGGCAGCGTGAGAGGGAAAGGGAGATTGCCGAGAAGATGCAGAGGGAGAGAGAAGAGGAAGAGAGGAAGCTCCGGGAGTCCAGGAGCCGGATTCTGGATGAAACCGCTCGCCGCTTTGTTCCTCCCGCTCTCCGTGCATCAGCGGAGCGCGAACGCTTTGGTACAGAGGGGCGCGAGCCAGATCTTTGGCGCCCGGGACCGCGCGCTGTTGTGGCAGATGGCCCTGTGCGTGAAAGAGCGTTACCTCCTGCACGTGGTGTGGACAGGTGGACCAGTCAAGAGGACCGTGGCTGGCGTCCCGAATCTGGTCGTGAGGTTGAGAGGGAGAGGGAGGCACCCCGGGCTCCTGGTGCGTATCAGCCTCCCAGTCGGAGGATGGATGTGGATGTACACAGGTCTGCTTTTGACAGAGAGCGGGATGTGCGTCCTGCTGACCACGATGGACCTCGCCTTGAGGTGGATGGCAACATGGTTCCACCACCACCTGGGAGGGAGCTGGGCCGGGAGAGACCATTCCAACCACCTTCAGGTGGAGGCCGGTATGAGCCACCTAGCCGTAGAGGTGGATTTGACCGCGATCGCGACAGGGACATGATGCCAGGGAGAGGCGGGCTAGCACCACGCCTGGGCGAAGATCGCTGGAGCGCTCCCCGTGAGGATGGCTCTCGGTGGGAGAGGGGCGACAGGGCACCGGCACCACCGCTTCGAAGGGATGATCGCTGGTGATGTTCTCTGACTAATGCTCCAGAACGTGCGAGCAGGTGAGTGTTGGAAGCCTGAAGGACAGTGGATGCAATTTTGGAGGGGCAATTTATATGTTGACTTCCTTGCTGAGTGCAGAGCTTCTCCCATGAATAAAAGCCATCTTTCGGAGTACACTCAGAGAAGATTCAGCAACCTTCCTCTTCAAGATTTGCTTGTTCAATCAAAGCCACCCTTTGAACGCAGGTGCACGCATGAAACGTGACCATGTACACCTCTTTGCGAGAGCTTCTAGCAAAGTCCTCCTGGGGCTCTTGGGAGGTAATACATTCTTCTGCCAGCTGGCAGTGGAGTGCACTATCCTTTTCCGGTCGCAGAGCACAAGCAGGTGCATTGCACTGGGGATATCAAGTCGAGGGCGTACTCCGATGAGGACTTTCGTGGATTTAGCTGACTCGAATTACGGCTAACTCTGGATGTTTCTGACCGGCATACGATGTCAAAAGCAGACTTGAAAACCTACTAGTGTTGCCTTGAGAACAGCTGCAATGATCTGCAAACCTTGGACGGACATGTCGTATGTTGGCTGTGGCTGCTTTCAGCCTGTAGGGGTTAGGGTACTAAAATGCAGCTTATCGCAATTGTATTACCACAGGTTTTTGGAGCAAGAAATAATTCTGGCTTTCTATGATTTCCTTACGGCAGCTCTTCTTTGATCGGAGCAAGTTTGGGATAACCTGCGCAGAGCAACAAGCGGTGGTAGCGCAGAGCTGTTGTTGTCATTTTTCTCTGAGAAGAAGGAAGTGGATCTAAGGAGGATGCTGCTGCTGCGGGCCCAAAGAACTGTATTCAAGGGAGGACGGCACGGTTTTGACATCGAGGTGTGTAAAGTTTTGTAGGTAGGTAAATGAGGAAAAACGTTGTTTTTTTTTTTCCCGACCTGCAATGTGGTGGCTTTGGGTGAGGTTTTGCATTCCAGATGTAGGCTGAGAGTGGTATGAGCTGCACAAAAAAGGTGCTTTGCAGATGTAGTGTTTAGAAGATTTTGGTGCTTGTTGCATGTCTTCTGTGTTTAGCAAATACATTGATATGGATATATAGAGTATATGAGGTTGTTAAGCAGAATGGGAGTTGTTGTGGATCGCCTGCCTCTTGAGGAGTGTGCTTGCCATTGATACCGTAACTACATGCAATAGTGATTTAGGTTAGTGGTGGGAAGGGGAATTCTCTTCTACAGGTACACGTTGAGGCCATAGATCATCATTTCTCTTTCTGGAGCTCCGCGAGGGAGGTTGCCATGGTAGTAGTCCTGACACAAAAAATCATTGCGTTGTATTGGCTCTTGTTTGTTTTCTGTGTTCCCGCGGCTCCAGTACCTTTTTTTTCTCTTGTTTTTGAAACTTTAAGGAGCTCATCCATGGCATCTATGCTGTGCACTCTTGTGGATGGTATGTGTATTCCCGGCCCTTTCGTCTTGTTTTTCTTGTTTTTTTGTTCTGTATCCTGACTCCTGCCTTGTTATCTGGGAGAATTATTCTTTGCGTAATCTTTCCTTCTGATGCCTGACCCCTTCGGTGTGGGAATAGACGTTTTACATATCTTCATTTTGTGGCTCGGACTGGTCGACGCATTTCACGATCAGACAGCGTGGGGTTTTCAGTGCGCAGAAAGTGCCAGGGCAGTTCATCTGATGTGTGTGAGCTGTCTTGCTGCAGAGCGGAGCCTTCTCTTTATCCTGCGGAGCATTCTCTTTATCCCGGTCTTGAATAAGAGTAGCCTCTTTGAATGAAGGTTATCCCTCAACCGTTCTCTGTAGCTAGAGTTCCATCGACTTGGTGCCAGTTTCGCAGCCACACATTCTATCAGTCCCGACTCCCGTGTGCTGATTGCGTTTCTGCCGAGTCTCCGTTTTGGGTGCAGGCAATTGCTCCCTGCAGATGCTTCTAAACGACTGGTCTTGATTGATTGTTGCTTCACACGGGAGTGTTTGACTCGGTGCTGTATACGTCAATCAGTACTGCTCTATTGCCGTTGTGACTGGTCGCTGTGTTGTACACAGCAATCATTCTCTTCAGATGCTACTACCAAGTGGCCTAAACCTGAGGGTTTCTGCTCACAAGATTTGCAAGCAGCCAGGTAATGGCACAGACAGAGCTTGTGATGGGGCAATGTAGGCAGTTACCGACTGCAGATATTCCCTGGCGTTGTTCACCTGGGTTGGCTAGGGTCTCCCGTCTTCTTATCATTTACCGATCACGTATCTGATGTGTCTCCAGTACCTTTGCTTAATCTTTGAATTCCCTGGCGTTGTTCACCTGGGTTGGCTAGTGTGTCCCGTCTTCTTATCATTTACCGATCACGTATCTGATGTGTCTCCAGTACCTTTGCTTAATCTTTGCACCTGTCTGATGTGTGTGTGCATACACAGCTCTGGCTATCTATCAGTCAGCTGCTCTTGGTTGATGTTTGTGTGTGGGTGTGTGTGCGCCTGCGCGTGCGCGCGTGTGTGTGTGTGTGTGCGTGTGTTCGTGTTCTTTGTGGTACGGGTTGCTGACTTACAACAGTCGTCGTTTAGTGAAACGAGCGTTGATAAGTAGGGATACAGGTAACATGATTCAAGAGTCTTCCCACATCCGACTTCCCCATGTGCTGGCTTGGGTCGTTGCATACATTTTTCTAAAATGCTTCTGTTGTGCTCTAGATTGATTACTCCTGAAATATTATAGACTCTACTTGAGTACGACTAATGTAGTCTCCTAAAATGCTTCTGTTGTGCTCTAGATTACTCCTGAAATATTATCGACTCTACTTGAGTACGACTAGTGTAGTAGAGAGAATGTACAGTTCCCACAGTGGTTGGTCTTTGAGTTGTGTGTATTACGGAAGTTATGCGGTGGTTGTGGTAGAGTACAGAGAATGTACAATTCGCAGAGTAGATGTTGGTCTATATTCTCTTTGTAAGGGCGCTTCTGTATTTGGCTGTTTGCTTACATCTTCATGTTCTATTAGGTTGAAGTCTATACGCAGAAAAAGGTATGCTTGCATGCCCTAATTGCACAGTTCGTTGTGCTCGTTTAGGTTGGTAGCGGGTGAGAATGTGTGGGAGAAACAGATGTGCATGGCATCACCTTGTGATTGGAGAATTGGACCATGCTGTAATGAATCTTTCCAGAGAATATTGAAAGGTACGCTACCATATTTTTTCTCTGTTTGGTCGCCGATGTGTTATGGTATTATTTATTGGGCCGCGCCTTGTGCTGCAGCGCTGGCCTTAGCAGTGGAGCAAGAGGGCCAGCGTTAGACCCCTTCACTTGGCTGTGCCGGGGATGGCTTACTCACACTAAACTTTTTCTGCAGAAAGAGGGTGTATTCGCACCGACATTGTAATTGCGGTCAGGTGCATCCATGTTGGGTTAGAAAGGGGGTCCCACAATCGGTGAAGTATCAGTGTGCGCATGCCCTAAGAAAGAGGGTGTATTCGCACCGACACTGTTAAATCATCATTTTAAATGTATCTACCTTATTTATGCCTGCACCTGGATGTAACACAACCCCGGTCCAGGCTGTAATGATGCCTGCTACGCACTCCTGTCTGTGTATGACCTGAAAGAAGCATGCTGCCATGCGCCGGAGGTAGCTGTAGCTGGTTGACTTGTTGTTGACAACAACGGATTTGACATCAAAGGATTGAGAGGTATTGGAATCTGTCTTCTGAAAATGAATGTAGACAATTGCCGAGGCGAAGTAAAACCTCCACTACACGGCCACCTGGGCTGAGGGCCTGACACCTTCATTTCTGGAGGCCCAACAGGCGATGCCGGCCATTGATAAACTTTGCCGATGGTGTGCGGGCTGCGTCCAGTACCTGTGCTCTAGTGCCGTGGGGACGAAGTCCTTCGCTAAGACTGGGGCCGTGTACTGGTGGCTCAAAAGTGAGAAATTTGTGGGGCTTCTGCAGGCATACAGCCATTTTGTAGTTTGATATAAATTTCTGGACCGACTGGAATGGGGCAATGGAACAAGTGGCAATCTCTGTCCATAGCAATGGAACGATTGGGGCCTAAGTTTGTGTCGCCCAGTGTCAGGGAAGGTTGCACTGGCAGTGTGGCCCTTGTTTGGAGAGAGAAGAGGAGGGCACTGCCGCCGCACTGTTGCTGGCGGCGTAGCACTGATGATGGTGCGCGTTCATGACATGCGACATGGCGTTTGGACCTTTCGAGTTGAAGGAGGCACATGTTTTTTTGCAGGTGTACACGGCCAGCCGAGTAGGCATGAAGTGATCACTGAGTCCTTAGCATCTGGGTCAATCGTATGCATTTGACAATTGGTAATCAGAGGAAGAGTTCGAAGTGTCTACAGGGACAGTTGGGTACCATAATCTTAGTGTCGAAATCATTTAGGTATGTAAAAATGGTGATAGAAATGCGATAACCGGGATCATAGAATGCCCATTGTTTATACCACGGATACATCACAGGCACTTCTCTCTGGGGCTGGGAAGGCACTGTGAAAGAGAATCGGTGTGGGCCTCCATTGGGCGGCACCATTTTGCTCTGGCGGCTGAATGAATGAATGTTGCAGCATGCTGCAGCCGCGACTTGGGAAAAGTGGCCGGGAGACGAGTCGTTCGCTGAAAAATTGCAGTTCTGCGTGCTGGATTGTGGTGGGGTGCTCTGGATCAATTTGCCATCATAAGACGAACACCACCTGTTCTAGAGATGTCAGGTTGTCATTGTCGCTTGTGGGGCATGCTGTCTGTGGTGAATTTAGGCTGGTGGAGCACTACAGAACTAACTAGTTTGCAGGTGGAGATGTTGGATCTTCTGTTCAATCTTTGCAAAGGGAAGAACGCCGGCATGATTTTTTGTCTTTCGTGCATGTCGAGAGTAGAGCGAGGCTCTCCATCTCCTGCATGCTCTAGAGAGAGTGATCCGAAAGAAGGCCTCGCTCCACTACATCGGCATGACTTCTCTTTTTGTGCATGTTGGGAGTGTAGAGGAGTGAGGCCTGTCTCCTGTGTGGTGCGCGCCTGCGAGAGAGAGAGAGAGAGAGCTTCAATTGCTTGCGCACGTCTGGGATTCGCTCCACTATCAAAATTTGCAAAACGAGAGTGAATCTTGGGCTAGAACATGGAAAGGTGCCCCGACAAGATTTCTGTCCTTTTTCGGTTGTTGAGAATAGAGGAGCAAGGCCCTATCTCCTGTGGAGGGAGAGAGAGAGAGAGAGATTCAACTGCGTGCGCATGCCGGAACTAATTCCACTACTCTCAAAATTTGCAAAACGAGGGTGAATCTTCTGCCCCGGCAAGATTTGTCTTTTTTGGGTTGTTGAGAAGAGCGAGGTCCGCGTGGTGGGGGCGCGTGCGCTGGAGAGAGAGAGAGAGAGAGAGCTTCAACGGCTTGTGCGCCTGCTTGTGCATGGCTATCTCCTGCGGGCGCTAGAGAGAGAGAGAGAGAGAGCTGTGGCTAGTTCGCTGTGAGGCCCCATGCAGTTCGCCGGTAATCTTGTTTGCTCTCTCTCTCTCTCTCTCTATGAAATACAAGATGGGAATGGATCTTCCGCGTAAAGGTGGGAAGGTTCATTATCATTTTGCACGTTTGTGCAAAACCCAGCCCTGCTCTCTCTCTCTCTCTCTCTCTCCCTATCTCTCTCCGTGCGGACAGAAATGGGCACGTTTGCAGAATTTTGTTTGTTGTGTATTTTTCGTCTTTTATTTTTGAATAACGTACTGCCAGCACGGCCAAGCTCGGCAGTTGAGGTCGAGTCTCGGCAAGGAGCGGGCTACCGGTCGGGAAAGGCTCGGACTCCATTGCTGCGGGAGGTTCTGAGGCAGTTCCCGGGTCACATTGTAGAGGCCCGCACCCAAATGCAACTTCTGGTGACCCTTTCGTCAGCGGCCTGTGGGGCCGTGGGAGGACCCTTTTTGAAACCACCTCAGAGGTGGTCTCAAAAAGTGTTTTTCGATTTTATAATTTTGCGTAAGGTTATTGGAGAAATTCGATTGTGCGTAAAACAAGTCACACAGATTATCAGACTTCCTTCACTAGTATGTGCAAAACGACAGGGAATCTACCGGTAGAAAATGGAAAGATACACCGCTGCGACTTTTGTGTTTTGTGCATGTGGAGAGTAGTGGAGCAAGGCCCCAATTTCGTGTCATAAAAAAAGAAAAAGATGCATATATTTGTTTTGTGTCCTACGCCTTGTGACTATGCGCACTGGCCGTTAGCTCCCAGTGTCAGGGCAGCGACTCTGTCCTGTCTGGACACAGTTCGCCCTTGCGACCACATGAGGATCGAAAGTCGCTAATTTGTGGAACCAAATTCTGCAAAACTTGGGGACTTCAGATCCTCGTGAGTATGCCCTCAGTTTGTGCAGAATGGCTCTGTTCTGCCGCCAGTGATTGTCATCCCTCAGTGTGTAATTTACTATTTTTGGATACCCTCTGAAGAGGAGAATTTTAGCACTGCTGTTGCCCTGTCTGGAAATAATCAGGCGTGGCATGTTTGAAGTCGCTATGCCTTGGTCCACAAGTCATGGGGGGAGGAGCCCTGCGCCTCTGAAACTTGTGGCGATGTTTTTCAGGGGCTGTGTTTTTTTGTTTTATGTTTGAGCTTGGCTATGTCCAGGTTCATTGTACACAGCTTTGCTTTGGCAAGTTAGCTTGAAAGAGTAGGGCTCCAGCTGCTGCACAGCAAACGAGGGAAGTTCTTATTACCTGCTCCAGGTGATGCACAGCAAACGAGGGAAATTCTTATTCCCGAGCAGCGTTTCTTGGGGGCTGTGTTTTTATGAATTATCTTGTGCCTATGTTAAACCCACAGTTGTGGCGCACCTCGGTGCGTGGATTTGCGCACGAATTGCGCACTGCACGCAGCGCTCCGAAGCGCAACGCACTGGAAAATTTAGGTCCAAAAAATAAAAATAAAAAAGAAGGGGTTTTGTAATTTCTTAGGGCCCACAACGTTGTAGAAATGTTAAACTCGCCGCGCGAGCTAGGAAACCAGCTGCGCCCCCAGCCCGAAATTTTCTTTTGGGAAAGGGCTGCCAAATTTCGATTTCCGCAGGCCCTTCCCCCAAAAGATTCACAATGGCGAAGCATAAAGTACTTCAAAAATAGGGTGCATTCCATCTCTATTTTTAGGCGGGGTAAGGAAGCTGTCCTTCCCGCTCCCTTCTGCAAATCCCACGCAGTGTGCGGTAATTTCGCAAGAAGGGGTGGCCTAATAACGACCTGCCCCGCAAAGCCTCGCAGACATCACAAGTTACGCTTTCCATGGCTAGCCGACCACCAATATAGGCTGAAGATTGGCGTTCGGGTCTGCATGTTGGCAGTTATGGGTTAGGATGAAGATGCCCGTGGCTCGCTGGTTTTCTTGTTTTTGTTTTCTTACGAATACGTCCAGTGGGGCCTGCTCCACCACTCGTCAAATGCACAAAAGTCATAGCATATGGCGGTGTATGGTTCCATGTTTTAGCAGAAGATGCGTTCTACTAATATTATATACATTTGGTGAGAGTGGTGGAGGGTGGCCTTGAGAATCACGTGGAGACACGAACAGGTTCTAGCTGAGCTGCAGCCCTGAACTCCAATCCACAGCATATATTGGTGGTCTGCCCCCATTTCTTTCACACATGACGAGGCCATCCTTCTCGTTGAAGCAGCAGCCCTCAATGGCTCCACATGCATTGGAGCCATCCCAGGTAACTGCACAGGCCCTCGGACCCTTCGTTGTCCCTCTCTCTCTCTCTCTCTCTTGGGGCCTGTCCTTTTTTTTTTTCTTTTTTTTTTTTTGTTATGGTGCACATAGTGCACCTCCCTCAGCGTGCGCACGGGGAACAGTGCACACGCTGTCATTCTCCAGCGCGAAGGGCAGCGCGCACCGCCCCGCCCCGCACTGCGCACTGGTGCGCGGCAACTATGGTTAAACCTCCAGTGCTCGGACCCCGCAGAAAAAAAAAATACGGTGCTCGTATACCGGCACATGTTTAAGGGGTCGCTGAAACAAGCGCCCGGTCGCTGCGACTTGAAAAAGAAAAAGAAAAATGAAAAAAATGAAAAGAAACAAACGATATTCTCTACTTCAAAAAAACGAAAGAAACAGAAAGACAAAATCCGGATGATGGAAATTGACGAGTAAAACCAAATATTTCTGAATTGTTAAAAGAAAAAAAAAAAACATATCCTGGTTGGGGGGTGTGCGCTAGAGAGAGGTTTGCAAATGAGATGGTATCTTGCCCCATTCTTGTGCAAGATTCATTCCCAATTTCTGCAAATCTAACCGCGTGTGAGACCAATGCGGATACACACACACACACAGACGGGGAGCTGCGCTTAGTGCCACAGCTAACCCGTAGTGGCTCTCTCCACCTCTCTTGTGCGCCAGCCACGTCAACTTTCAATGTGAGGATGGCACACCGGCCATGTCGACTTCCACCGTAAGAATCTCTTCCGCAAGAGTAAGGGAAGGTAAGGGAAGATTCATTCTTCGACTCCTGTTTTATTTTTATGTTTTTTTCAGAATCTCTGTTTTTTTTTTTTTTTTAGCTTTTTGTTTTTCATGAGGAAGAAAGGTGCAAAGCTTTCAGCACTGAGGCTCGGCTTACCCGTTGTGGGAGGTGCAGACTTGACAACTGTGGTTTCAGGTTAACATTGTACACGGCATTGCGTTGGCAAGTTCCCTTGAAAGAAATGGCGCTCCACCTTTGTCACAGCAAACGGCTGAAATTATTGTGCCCGACCGTTAGGCGAATGACATAGCGGAAGTAGATCTCAACTGGATGAATGCGTTCGGGGCCTGGGTCCCCACTCCGCAAACTAGGGGACTCGTGAGCCATTTTCCTTTTAGAGGTCTGGTTGCACGTGTGACCAAGTTGGGACATTAAATCCGGACAAAGCCCTGAAATGACGGTGGCACTGGAGCTATGTTTTAGAAAGACTCGTGAAATTTGAGGGCTGTCTAGTCTTGGGGGAAGCAAGGGGTATTCAGACTCGGGGAATTTCCAGAATGGATCGAGTTTGCTAGTGTTAAGGCCTGCAACTTAGCCTGTCAAGACGGCCGATAAACATAGTAGAATCAATTTAACTAGGGAGGACTTTCATATATTTGTGATTACGGTATGTGCACGTCAGAGTATAACACGGGGGTGGGGTTCTTAGTACAAATTCTGTAGTGAATTTGGTATATCGTTCACGAGCGTCTCCTTGATGTAATGTTGATAGAGTGGATGCAACAAAATATTCGAGATCCAAGTGTCGTCTCGGGCCTCGTGTGAGGGGAAGCCAAATCATACGGCCCTATTGTGGAGGTTTCAAGGGGCCGCAAAAGAGCATTGTTTGCTGGATAAAGTTTCGTTAAACAGAAGTACTTTGGTGCATTCAGAGATAGATGTGAGAATGGAGGTTGAATGAAAGGAAAGCTATAATAGTGCATTTTTGCGCTTGTGACGCAGGGGTTAGCGTCTGTCTGCAAGTTTAAACTGAACATTGTTTGATCTTCGGTGATGGGACCCTCATTGGCTTGTTATGTGCAACTCTTTAAGTTGGTAGGAACAAAGCTCACACTCATACAATAGTGGGCCGTTGT